TTTTTTTGGTTTTTCTCCGGTACCAGGAACCGAACTCACGACCTTGCGCTTGCCAGGCAGGCGCTTTTGCCGCTGAGCTAAATCCCCAGCCCGATCGCACCTGTTGTTACTGATGAGTGCTTTCCGTGCCAGTGCTGTGTCATCAGATGCCCTGGATTTTCGGAGTAATTTTCGTCCCTGCCTTTTCTGACCTGGGAGGGATCAGTATCGCCTGAACCCAGCTGATGTGATGACTGGATGGCGGCTGCTGTATTTTATTTTAAAGGTTATTGGAGGCTATATTTTAGGAAAAACAAATCATTTGCATTGAACTATTTTGATAATATGATGTCTAGTACAGACATTCTTGGTTTAATGACTGCCTGTTTAACAGCTATCTGGACTTAGGACAGAGGTGTGCTGTTGGCCTTATGTCCCACCGCTCAGACTTACAGCCCGTCTTTTTTGTAGAGTTCTGTACATCTTGTTTATAGAGGGTCAGGATCTTTTTGTACAGTACACCTTGTTTATACAGTACTGTAAGTTTTGCTAATTGTATTGTACAATACAATACTGTAGTTTTAAGTGCTATTATACATTACAGTACTGTGTATAAGAGTTATGCAAATGAAAGTCATCAAGTTGGAGTTTCCTTTGACTATTTCTTTGTTTTGAATATTGAAATGTACATATGCTGTACAATTGCTTATTTAATGACCAATTCCATTAATGACCTTGTTGCAAGTCCAGAGCCCATTCGCTCGTTAAACAAGGAGTACAGTGACTGCGAAGGGGCATGTAGGACCCCCAGGGTCACTGGCACCCATAGCAGCAATTAGTTACATGAGCAATTGGTGTGTCAGGCATTGTGCACAGCATTTCATGTGGATTATCTCATTTAATTCTGTAAAATAAGATGTCGTAAAAATGCTGACTTGGAGGCTCAGTGAGATCAACTTTTCCATGGCCATACTGCTAATACTTGGAGTTAGAAATTTGAATCTTAATGCTGTTTTTATTAACTCTGCTGCTAACTGCTTTTTTCTCTCCCTATTCCTCCACTCGCTTAAATTCTCCATTACATTACATTTAGAAAGCTGTATTCAGAACTGTAAATCTTCTTTTGAAAAAAAGATGAGAAAGTTTGGAAAAAACTAATTACTTGAAGTAGCTTTAAACCATTAGCCTTGCAGTTTTGCTAGGCCTTTGTGCTTGTGTGTGCCATTAAAATTGTATTTGCTCTGACTAGTCTGAGAAACCCTGATTCTCCACTGATAGAAATGGGGAAGGAGGGAACTAGATCTTCTCTAGTTGTGTTTATCTCATTAAAAGGATGAATTCACATAGGCAATACACTATACTATGATTTGACGGGACACTTTTTACCTTTTAGGATTCAATGACTTCCTTTCCTGGAGGATGTGGACCTACTGGGTAGACACAAGGACTAAAGCAATGAAGCTGTGGAGGGCCATGAAGATAGCAGGAGGATCAAATTGCAGTTCCAGATAACAGCAAGTTAAAGCCCTCTCTGGCCAAGTTGACCAGAACATTTGGATGATAACGTTGAACTTTATACTGAAACTTTGCATTTTTCCTTAGAGCTGCTATATATAGACCTATGAATGCTAAATTCTCTTCTTTACTTGCATTAGCAAGTGTGTGAACGTGAAGTGCATGCTTATTGAAATACAGGACATTTAAGAACTTAATCTTTGGGCCGGGGATATAGCTCAGCAGCACAAGTGTTTACCTGGCAAGCATTATGTCCTGAGTTTGATTGCCGATACCAAAAAAAAAAAAAAAAAAAAAGACCTTGATCTTCAGAGTTGAGTGTGACTTCAGATTTCTAATTCCCAGACTTTCTTATGGTCAGCAATGTCTGTACACCGGGCGTGGTGGCACATGCCTGTAATCCCAGCAATTGGGAGGCTGAGGCAGGAGGATCATTGAGAGTTGGAGACCAGCCTGGGCTACAAAGTGAGCTCAAGGCCAGCCTGAACTGCATAGTGAGACTCTGTCTCAAAAAGACAAAAAATAAGATAAAATAAAAAAGAAGAATGTCTGTGATACAGCGGCTGTCACCTGGTTGGTTACTGGATCATCTTTCTTTCATTAACAAGATAAACTATCAAATTCATCAGCCTCATGAGCCTCGAGGCAGTCAAAAAGAGTCCACTCCTGTGTGCTTCGATTCTCTTCAGATGAATTCTCTCTCTTCTGTTGGATTCTCTGCTGCCTTCACTGCTTCTGACTCTACCACAGAGCCAGAGAAGGACGGAGAAAACTGTAGAACTCAGAAATACGCTTTTCGATCTGAACTGTTTAATGTTGTCAAACCTTATATAGCTCCAGCTGTCCATGAAGCATGCCGACAGAGTAATGAAAAAGAAGATACCGTGAACAATGTTAAACAGGAAACCTCCATTTCTGTGGTTGGGAAGGTAGAATGTTTTAAAACTTGAAATTTTTCTACAGAGTGCAGAATTTTCATTCCAGCATCTCGGATACCTTGTGATTTATTAAGTATAAAGAATCCCTAAATCTGAAGGCTTTGGTATATCCAGAGTAATTTTTAACTCTTTGCTAACATTCTGCCCTTCTTACTAGACCAATTTCCATTTTTCACTTGTAAACAAAATTGGCTTGGAAGTGAGTGTTCTGTAAATGAAGCAAAATCAAACAACAACAAAACCTTTTTTTGCTTAGCTATTCATACTGGTTATTTTGGGCTGGGATTTAGCTCAGAGGCACAGCGCCTGCCTGGCAAGGGTGAGGTTGTGAGTTCGATTCCCGGTACCAAAAAAAAAAAAAAAAAAAAAAAAAAAGCCATATTGGATATTTTTACTAAAAAGCATACTTCTGTTATACAAAATTCCAAAGCTGTAAGTGGATTGTGAGAGAGTTTTAGGGACTTGTCCCTTGGGGATCAGCTCATATAATAAGAGTTAGAAAGAAGTTAGATATTTTTGAAATGTTTCCAGTGATGAACAAGAAAGCTAATGTGGAAAATGTATGTTTATAAAATCTATAGATTCATATTCATACCCTGGAGGTGTGGTCCTGTAACAAAGTTTGAGAACATCATACAGGATCAAATTTCTTTGCTTTAATCCTTTTTGTATGTTTTGGGAGCCCAGAGGTGATTACACAAAACCTATTTTAGATAAATTATCAGTGTTGTATTTTGTTGTGGTAGGAATAATATTCATTATCACCAAGAAATGTTTGCACGCTTGCTGTGTGCTGTTTTGTATGCAGAGTGATGAAACAAGATAAACACTAATGCTGCCCTCATGTGTCTTATCATTGAGTGGAAAAGAGAGAAAATAAGAGAATTAGAAAAGAAAAGTAATAGAGGTAACTTAGTACATTGGTAACCTGAAGTAGAACTTTTAATATTCTTGTGATTGTTTTTTGGTGCATATTTTTTCCTTTCAGTAAATATTTATTGACCATCAATGTGTCAGCCGTAGAATAGAAAATATATAGAATTGTTTGCTATTTCAGTGAAGTAGTATGTAGGTAGGTTGTTACTGTTGCTAATTCAGATAATCATCTGTAAAGGCCTTTCAGCTGAGAGTATGGATATTAACTATAGATGAACATAAGCAACAAATGTTATCTTGACAAAAGTTATATCTTTCTTTTTTTTTTTTT